CTGCAGTTCTGGGAGCCTTTGGTTGTTGATCCGCCGAGCCCGCAGCAGCTGCAGCTGCAGCAGCAACAGTTGCACCAGCAGCAGTTGCAGCAGTTGCAGCAGTTGCAGCAGCAGCAGGCTCTGCGGCAGCAGCAGCAGCAGCAGCAGCAGGCGCAGCTGCAGGCACAGCAGCAGCAGGCACAGCAGCAGCAGGCACAGCAGCAGCAGGAGCAGCAGCAGCCTCGTGGGTTTAGATGTCGCTGTTGCAAGGAGGCAATGAAAGATGCTGTGGAGCTGCGCGTACACTGCAGGAGCAGCAGACACGCAGCAAACCTGAGGAGACAGCTGAGCTCGCTGCCTCCCCTCACTGAAGAGCAGTGGCAAGAAGTGCAGTTTGATGAAGACTTAATCGCTGGAGGCGTTTCAGAGGTCAGGGGATTCTAGAAATCTGCTGCAGCAGCTGCTGCTGCAACTGCAGCAGCAGCTGCTGCAGTTGCTGCTGCAGCTGCTGCAGTTGCTGCTGCAGCTGCTGCAGTTGCTGCTGCAGCAAGAGGGGATTGCTGCTGCTTCAGCAGCTGCAGCATTTGCAGTTTCAGCTGTAGCAGCAGCTGCAGCAGTCCCTTCGACAGTTGCTGCAGCAGCTGTGGCTGCAGTTGCTGTTGTGGCAGTTGCTGCTGCTGCAGTTGCTGCAGTGGCAGTTCCTGCTGCAGCAGCAGGTCTGACCCACCCGCAGTGGAACGCTGTCTGCTTTGTATTCAGTTAGTTGCTGCTGCTGCTGTTGCAGCAACAGCAGCAGCAGTAGCAGCAGCAGCTTTAGCGCCAGCACCAGCAGCAGGAGGCTGCTGGCGTCGAGCTCAGAGGCTGCAGTTTTGTTTGTTTTAGTTGCAGCAGCAGCAGCGATATTATTAGGAGCTGCTGCTGCATGCATCGCAGCAGGCAATGCAGTAACCGACGAACTCGCAGGTATAGAAGCAGCACCAGCCGCGGCTGCGCTCCTGCAGCAGCAATATGTGCTGCTCCAGGAGTAGCTGCTGCTGTTGCATCCGCAGCAGCAGCAGCTTCGATTGGCTACCGCCTGTCTTTATCGTTTTGACTCTTTTCATTTGTACCGAGTGTTTGCGCAGCAGCAGCAGCAGCAGCAGCAGCGAGAACTGCAGCAGCAGCAGCAGCAGCAATTGCGACATGAATTTCGGTGTATTTAGATTCTGCCCTTGGGTTAATACGTCGAGCTGAGATGCAAAGAAAACTTCTTTGGAGTGTACAGACAGATAGATAGATAGACAGATAGATATAGATATATAGATAGATAGAAACCCCCAAGGCAAAGATAGAAAACTGAGGCTAGCAAGCAGTTGCTAAGCATACACCTCACGCATGCGCTGCCGATACACCTGGTGAATCTGCTGCAGATCCACCTGGTGAATTTGCTGCAGATACGCTCCGTGAGATGCAGCAGATATCGGTTAAAACGCGTGCAGCAGCAGCTGCTGCTGTTGCAGCAGCTGCTTCTGCAGCGTGTTGTTGTTTCAGGGCCGCCTCAGGCAAGAGCAGCAGCAAAACATAGCTGTGGCGATTGTTTTGCTGCCAGCAGGTGCAGCAGCAGCGGCGACAGCAGCAGCAGCAGGAGGCGCAGCAGCAGGTAAGCACTTGTTTCCTCTCCGAAGAAAAAATTACTTTTACTGTTCTTGCAAATCCTCAGGGTCTGCCTTCGCTGTCAAGTCTAAGGGCTCCCCCATCATATTCTCCCACCTGCACAACGCAAGAAGAAAGATATGGGGTGTACAGACAGCTCCTGCTTCTTTCTATCTTTTGTCTACCTTTGTTATATACACATATATATATATTATATACAAAGATATATATATATATGTATAGCGTTTCTCAACTATCTCATATGTTCCTCTCTCTTTTCTCTCTCTCTCTTGTCTCTGCCATTCTCTCTCTGTTTATTTCTTTGTCTTTATTCGTTTGTCTGCCTCTTTCTTTTTTTGTTTTTCTCCGTTTCTTTTCTCTGTTTTTCTTTTATTTTTACTTACATTTTGAGGACATCTTGGGTGGCGGACTCGAAGTGCGAAGTGGCGTCGAACGACTTTGAGACAAAAATATTGCTGTCTCTTCCGTCGTCTGTACACTCCATCATATCGCTTACTGCAACAAACTTCTCCTCTATCTTACCCAACAGCTTCAACGCCGGCTCCAGCTCTGCAGCAGCACCAACAGCAGCAGCACCAACAGCAGCAGCAGCAATAGCAGCAGCAGCAGCAGAGATGCTTATTCGTAAGCGAACGGAGGCAAATCATCCCATAGAAGAAGCCCCTTCATGAGGATGCATGCACAGAGAAGGAAAAGTAAAGTTCGTGCGACACTGCATACACTGGCTCCTGAAACCTCCCCCCAAACCCTAAACCCTAAACCCTAAACAACAGTAGTGTTCTTGCGAATCTGTGCACGCTGCCTCCTGAAACTTCCCCTCTAAAACCCTAAACCCTAAACCCTAAACCCTAATTTTGGGTACCTTTTTCGGGGTCGTCAGTCTCAACAGTGGTGCTGACGATAGCTATAGTCTTTCCCTTAAGGCAAATGCCGTGGGGGCTGGAGACCACCATTACATAAATGTCGTTGTGCCTGTTGAGTTGGCGTTGAGGAATAATTATCTGGCAGCTGGTGCTGCCATTCGTGTGTGGGACAGGGGCCCCCAGGATGCAGATACACCGCACAACCCTGCCTGTACACCGCAAACGAGAAGGAAACTGTTCCGCCACGTACGAAGGATCGCAAACCACCATCTTGCATCGAGCTACCTACACACAAGCCAAGCACCAACACATCATTGCATGCATGCATGCGTGGAGGCAATACACTTATGCATGCATGCAAATATATTCATGCATGCATGCAACACATTCATGCATGCATGCAAATACATGCATGCATGCATGCACGTTGGCCTTGCCGAGTGCAGCCCCAGAAGAGCAGCGCATGCAAGAAAACAAAAACAAATAAACACTTAAGGATGTGCGCGTTGCACCACAAGCCCAATACCTCGCCACCAACATAAACCCTAAACCCTAGACCCTAAAAGCTGTTAGGCAGTTAAAGGCCACTTTAAAGCGTCTCGCCGCTTCCCTTCCCCCTCTTAAACCCTAAACCCTAACCCTTCCCTCTCCCAGACCCTAAACCCTAGCCCTCCCCGCCCCTACGTCCTAAACCCTAAACCCTAAACAAACCCTAAACCCTCAACCCTCAGGTCTCGGGGTTTGTGCTGGCTCCTCACCTGTCCATCTTTGGTTTTTACACCGCAAACTTTCCCCTGTTCGTCTAATTCAAAAGAAGAGACAGGGGCCCCCAGCATATAAGTACCTCCATTAACAGCACAGAGGCGACTGAAGCCCTCAGGGAGGCCGCCCAATCCATACACTGGATATATAAAGGGAGATCTACCGTAGCGAGAGACCGAATACATGTATAACTTTATTCTCTCCATTGTCTCCTGCATCGGCTGCTTCAAGTACCTGCACAAACAAAAACAAAAAATAAAGGGAATTCAAATGCCAGGCCTCAGCCCCAATTTCGGCGCTGCATGCAACAACTTTAATAAAGACAGAGACGCATCCATGCACGCAACTACACAAAGAAGATATACCCATATATATGTATGCTTTTTTCTTAAGGTATATATATATATACGCCTTAAGACAAGAAAGACACAGAGAAGAGACAGTAAAATAAAGCAGAAGGGTGCTAGCATGCAACACCCACTCGTCGCTGGGGTACAGAGCCACCGCATGGCCGACAAAGTCGATGGTGTTTGTCTCCAGGCCGAAGTACTTGTACACCTGAGCATGCACACACACATACACATCACCTGCAACTAATGCATGCATACATGCATGCATGTATCCTTGCATGCATGCAGGCAATTCCGCAAGCATGCATGCATGCTGACACATCCTCGCATGCATCTTCTATGCATGCATGTCATTCGCCCACGGGGTTTTCGTCTGCATGCAGCCTCGGGCTGCGGCCGTCAACGCAGCCCCAAACATCCGGCCGCCCCACGCATGCAAGCTTCAAGCCAAAAAGTGCACGCATGTATGCATGCATGCATGCGGTGTTGTTAATCAGGCAGCTACCTGTTCCATAGAATGTCTTTTGGGGTCAAAGCCCCTCCAGGTGTCTGGCTTGTCTGCCTCCCACTGGGCACAATAGGCGAAAAAAGAGCGGCAGCGATTCTTCTCAAGAAGAGGCATTAAAGGAGACATCAGCGCCTCCGTCTCCGTTGCCGGCACCTGCGCGTTCAGGTGTACGTACACGGCAACGAACCACTCAACACAATAAACCATGCATGCATGCATGCATGCATGCATTCAAGCAACAACCCCAAAAACAGTGCACACACGCACAATCCTCCCACAGCCACAGCCAAACCCTAAACCCTAAACCCTAAGCCAACCACCGGAGATAAAGCAGCCACAGCACGGGCGCCGCACCAGCAGCAAAACAGCAGCAGCAACCGCACAAGTAGGCGCAGCAGCTACAGCAGCAGCACCTTCTACAGAAGCAGCAGCAGCAGCAGCAAGAAGCCTTGAGGTGTTTACTTTGTGTATGAATTTCTCGCTAGAGAAATACCCAGCCTTCTGATACTGGTAAACAAACGTCCCTTCCACGACTTGCCACTCCAGGTACCTGTAGCAACCACATAAACGCTAAACCCTAAACCCTAAACCCTAAACCCAAATTCTAAACCTCGCACATACCTTAGACCCCAAACCCTGCATCCACAGCGCCAAACCCTACACCCTAAACCGTAAAAATCGTGAACGCAAACCACAAACCCTAAACCCCAACCCCCAAATCCTAACGCGTCAGCCCTAAATCGCGTGCTCTATAGACCCTAGACCTTAGACCCTAAACCCTAAACCCTAAACCCTCAGCACCTAGTGACTTTGGTCTTGAGGAGAATTTTGACGAGCTTGCCACAGGCCATGACAAACTTCGGAATTAAATCGACGTTCCAGTCTCGGTTAGACCCGTACTCCGCTGGAGGTGAGGTGCCTGAAACCCCAGGAAGCAAGCAGCAGCAGCAGCAGCAGCAGCAATAGCAGCAATAGCAGCAGCAGCAGCAGAAGCAGCGAAACGGCAGGTGCTTTGCCACATGCAAATGCATCCCATGGGCCAGCATGGTGGTAAATAGAAAGAAAAGGAATGCAAGAGAGCCAGAAAGAAAGAGAAATAGAGAGAATAAGAACAAGAAAAAGAAAAAGAGAAGGAAAAGAAAAAGAAAAAGAAAAAGAAAAGGAAAAGAAAAAGAAAGAGAAAAGGAAAAAGAAGGAAAGAGGATAAGACAAACAGAAACGGCCGCGTTGCAAACAAAGAGAAATGAAGAAAGAAGCACTCATCACTGAATTTATTGTTCCGCGTTCAACACCTGGTTAGGGTTTAGGGTTTAGGGTTTGTGGGGCGTCTCACCGGGTTTAAACTTGTTATAAAGATTCGTAAGGTTAAGAGAAGCACCGTCGCCCCCATAGTAATTGTTGCGGTCTAAGTGCAGCACTTTCTTTCCAGAAGAAGAGAGCAAACCGCTCAATATGCACTCCTTTAGGCCCGTGCCGCAAACCACAACCTGCAACAAAACCCTAAACCCTAAACCCTAAACCCTTAGCCCGCTGCTAAACCCACCACTGATCCGTACGTTGCTATACTCCCCAAACTAAACCCCCCAAACGCCAGCTCAATGCATACACTTCAAGACAGACGCAGACTCTACAAACGATGAATATAAACAATGCAAACAATATAAACAAGACAACCCCGCCAAATCAAGCAACAGCAAACCATGTCTATCCCTGAAGCAGCTGTAAAGCAGAAGAACTACAAAAAAACTAAAGCCAGTGCAAATAGCACAGGCGGAAGGAGCACCACCAAAGAGTAAACAGGTGTAGGCCTGCTGCTGCTCCTGCTGCTCTGCTGCCGCTGTTGTTGCTGCTGCTGCTGCGCGGTCTGCTGCTCGCCGTCGCAGCAGCAGCGCTGCGCCCACGACATAGAACCCTTCTCAAGGACAGGAGACGCAGCTTGAGGCTCTTAATAAAGCAGGGAATTGAATCGGTCTACAACCGGTTCCCACTAAGACAGCGAAGCATTTGTTGCTGCTGCTGCTGCGGTTGCTGCGGCTGTTGGTTTCGCTGCAGCAGCAGCAGCAGCAGCAGCAACCCGCTACACGCCATCTTATCGAGACTCTCCAGAACGCATGCAGTTAACTCTTACATCATATTCCTCATCCATTTTGCTGGCGTGGGAGGTCCGGGGAGAGCCGCTGGGCAGTACGGCTTGCTGTCAACAGTCTTGATGTTCTTCTTTAAGTAGGAAAAAGAAATTAATGAGTCTGTTCCTGCAAATAAAGGTACCTAAAAAAGGTTCGACCGGTGGCGGCATAGCTGTCGCCGTTGCTGCTGCTGCTGCTGCTGCTGCTGCTACTGCTGCTGCTGCTGCTGCCACTGCAGCAGCAGCGGCCGCTGCTGCTGCTCGCGGCGACCTGCAGAAGATAAATTCGGTTATTAGTGCAATCCTTCTTTTTCTTCTTCTGCATATATTTTGTGTTTTGTTTCTGTTTATACAGCTACGCTCTAAGCAGTTTTCGTTTGATATATTTAGGGGCTCTCCCGCTGCCGCCTGCTTGCAGTGCTGGTGAGATCATGCTGCAATCGTTATTTGTCTTTTGCTGATGTTGCAGACGAGATACATGGGGTAAGAGAAATTGAAACAGCGAACTTCTTTGTTTGATTGCATGCAGTGTTGAGGGCGTTTCCTGTGGCGTCCCGCCCGTCAGCCCGTCACTTAAACTTATGCCTTCATCTCCCACTTGAATTTGTTTCGGAAGCGTTCAATTATTATTTATTATTCACGTTTGTCTCTGCTTGATTAGCTGCCCCGTACACGAACACTTCCCCTATTTTATCAGCGAGAGGATGCTCTCATCGATATAGTAAAGCAATTGATCTTGTCTCAAGATTCAGTGTATTGCTCCTGAAGCTAGTTAGCCGCAGAAGCAGCAGCAGGAGATATTTGTACCATCTGAGATTCAGATTTTGTTGGCAACTCTGAACAGCTTCACCTCCTCGGTGTAGCATGGCCCTTCTGATGCTTGTTTACTTGGTCTAAGGTCAAGCACAGCAATTGTATAGAATGTTAATGCAGACAACAGAAGGGGAGTTGGTTGTGACTGCATGTGGAGCTGGCTTGCAGTACTAGTTGCAACGAGGAAATTTGCAGTCTCAGGATCCATCCTACCCCAAAACTCTAAGCCCTTGTGCCACTGTCCCGAGAACGTTAGGGGACTAGGGGAGAGGTCAGCAGCTTCTTAGTATTTCTTGCCTTTGGTATTCGGTCTGGCTGCAGTTCACGGCAGTGCTTGCCACAACAGGGCAGCGAGACAATGACTAGTACAGCATACGTTCCAGAAAGACACGGAAAGGACTTTAGATAGTCTCCCAAATTCTTATCAAAACCTCAGAACCAAACGTCTTTGGGGGGAAAAAGTAGAACAAGCAAATATATAGAAACCTTCAGGTCCACTCTGTTCAATGCGCAGCTTTCTAGAAGCACACTGGTACTGCTCAGTTCAACTGTACAAAGCATCTGGAGAATCAGAAGGGAGACCCGAGAATATCCACACACTTCAATGCAAATGAATAGCATTGAAGCGTGTGGATATTCCGGAGGTGCCGCACGCTGTGGCAATGGAAAAATCCCGCCTAAACGACGCCGCTAGAGGAGATAGAAATTTTATGCGCTCGTGAATCTTCACAGGCTGAGAGTTTTTTGCTCATTTAGGGCGAAAGGCTACAGCACGTGAGCACGACCCCCAACAAAACATAGAACTATGACGCTCTGCCGTTGGGGAACCAACGGCTGATTTCCTCATTAAGACATCACACGGACAGTTCCTAGATTTGCACGAGATTGCCGCATAGTATAGGATACAAACAGGGTTGAGAACACTAGGTGTAGACTCGTATCACGTGCAGCGCGATGCATGTGGCACAACTACTGCAGTGTAATTTACGGAAGAAGCGATAGTTGCTCATCCGCGCTCCATGCTTGCTGGTGAAACTCCTCGCTCAAATCTAGCCAAGCATGCATAAGCAAACGGAGAGAAAAAGCGGGCAAAATCGATTCAAAATCAAACAAAGTAAGTGCAGCAAAAAGCCGAGGCGATGACACGTAGTTCGTGCTTATTACAACAAGAGTCCTTAATCTTTTTCGGGGTCCTTGTAAGCTGCACTAGCGTCAAAACTAAAAGAGCTCGTGAAAATCATCCGACCTCTGCTCTCATCCCCATGCATCCTCCGCGCAGCTGCCGAAAGCGCTGCTGCGGAAAGGCGGCAGGCTTGCATGAGGTGCAACGCACCTTAGTGCAAATAATGTTGGAAGGCACTTCCACATGC